TTTCTTCTGTTGATCATAAAGCCGGCGCGGACATCGGTCGTCATTGGTCATCTTGTTTAGTAGTATTATTAATATTTATTTATATTTCATTAAGCAGGAATTAGGGGATATGTTCTTTCGATGGATACATTTGCCAGAGTCGAACTCGAGTGCGGAGAACGACCCCGGCGACGGCATCGGCAACGACGGCGCGACTTCGTGCGGTGAGCGGGGTGTCGTAGGATGGCGCGCGGGGCAATTATGACATAGTATAAGCAAACCGGCGCGGGCACTGGGAGCCGCACAGCCGGTTTGTTGGCCCAAAGCGCCGCGCCGCACTGCCTATACGGTATTCTGCGGAGCTCAGTCTCAGGCTTGGGCTTAGCCCTATTGGTTACGGTAGGGGACAGACACTACGAAGGTTCGGGCGTCAAGGCTGGCGAGCGTCGACGCAGCGGCAGCGAAGCATCGAGAGAGAAGCCGATGGGGTTGAGGGCCGTGGGGTTATCCCCCTTGGTTTTGCCATTGAGGGAGTTAGAGACGCCCGAAATTTCTGCAAAGCTAAGGAGTTAGTTAAATCTGGTCCAAAATTGAACTCAAGTCTTCTTTTGGGTTCGTATCTGACTTAGTATAAATCTAGGAAGTCTCACTTTCTAAAGGGAGTGCCGCCCAAATTTATACTATATCAGGAAGTTAGACAAAATTTGACTTTCCAGAGTTAGAGATTATTTTTGCCTTCATATTAGACTTATTATAAATCTGGAAAGCCTCCCTCTCTAAAGGGAGTGCAACCAAAATTTCTGCTATTTTTATGAAGTTAGACATAGTTGACTTTTCAAAGTTAGATATTTACCTCTGCTTTCATATATGGATTTATATAAATTCTGGAGAGGCACTTCTCCTACGGGAAGCGCTGCCGAAATTTTTCTAGTTTAGAGGAAATAGATTATATTTTGACAGGTGGCGATTTAGGCGATCCACCCTGAATAGGGGAGATTCAGCAGTTGGTCTACCTTTGGCTTAAGCACTGACTTAGAGGTAGACTTAGGTTTAGCTTATAAGAAGATTTAGAGTGAGGATGTATTATGGAGTTGTATTCTCCATACACTTATGATCTTAGCTTGGGGATTGGTCTGCCGTGTGTTACAGGTCCTTTGATCATTTGATCCAAGTTCAGGACTAGATCCAGTTTGATCCCTTGAAGATCACCTTCTGTTATCACTGATAACAGGTCGGTTGCCGATTCGTCGGTCTACGTCTCAATTCCAACTCACCTTCCACACTCAACCTAAAAGGCTTTAGCCCTGGTGATTTCAATGTTTCGTTAAGGTTTTACCCATACTTTTATTAAATGGGCATTTAACAAAGGTACTGAGTATTTAATTAAGGTTGGCTGGACAGGAGGTTGGGGCTTGCATGGCTAAAGCGAGGGGTATGAGTGTTGCAGATGGTTAGGGTTGACCCCGTGTAGTGCGTGGGCCTCTGGTTGAATCTCTGATGTGATTGCAAGTATGCTTGGTGATTCGGACTTGGGATTTTGACGGTCTGCGCTCACATAAATATACATATGGCAGAGAGGAACCCCCACTGTGACTGTGAGAAGTGATCGTCCCATAAAATTAACCCTCATATATTTACGAGTACCCTGAGTATTTGAGAGGCCTACTATATTTGTGCTTAAGGGTTAACCGGATTATGGCTGAGAGAGAAGGGAGATCCCCTTTCTAGACGAGATTCGAGAAAAAAGGGAGATCCCCTACTGTATTTGTGCGTAAGGGTTAACCGGATTATTTGAGAGGCCTACTGAATTTGTGCTTTTTAGAGACTTTTATAGTCCGGCGTTGGTCCTGGGCCGGGATTCGAGGTCCTTGTCGAGGACATCCCTAGCCCTAGACTCTACAGGGAAGGAACCTGCGCCCGCGCAGAGCCTATTTGCCTTGCCTACCGAGACGCTCAGACCAAAGGCCGGAGGTCTCGCGGCGGCTGCACGACTATTCCTTCAGCCGTGCAATGTCGTGAAGGATTAGACCCTCACGACACTTCGAGTCTGACACTTGAGTGTCATAGGCGGTACTCGGATCCACGAGGGACCGCTTGATTGTGGGCATTACATAGTACGCCAGCATTGCGACTGCTTGCGTACGCTTGCATTGCGAGTCGATCTGAGTTAGCCCCGCGTCCGCGCGGTTTTATACTAAGTCTCGCGCGTGACACCTATTCGGTTTCCGCATTGGAAAATTATCGGACGGCTAGCGAGGGGCTAGGAGCGTTGTCGCGTTATTTGTGTTGTGTCGTTTCATTTGCGTGTGTGTGTGTGTGTGTTTTATTTTTGTGTTCGTAGAGTGGTGTGCGCGTGGTGTGTGGGATACATCCTAGTCGACCGACGACGAGCCGCGCTTGGGACTTCAGCCTCCCCTAGATGTCGTTTCGCGTGCGGGTCCGATAGGCATACTACCGCGCGTACCCCCTATGCTACAGCAAACGAGAAATGCCCTCGGCTGGTCCACCTCTGCGATTGCAACTGATTAGCTTTCGTATTGTGGACTGGTAGCTCGGCAGGGATACGCCCACTCAAGGGAGGTGACAGCTCCCGTAAGGTGTAGGTAAGTCGTGCCTCGGGCAGGCCCTATCCTGTCGTAGGGTATCGCGAGAGGTAAGGCTGGCGCACTCGGCCGGAACGGTTTGCGGAAGCTCCAAGTATATTTGCGACGAGGATTTAAACCAACTCCTGCGTGACGCGGCCGGGAGGGTCCCGCGTTGCCCCATGCGGTGCCGGACCGATGCGGTCGACAGGTGGCGTCGTTGCCGGGGATAACGAAAAGCCTACCGTTGTCCCTGGGTGAACGACATCCAGGTATGAGAAGTGAACGAGAGAAGGCATAAAGGAAATGACGAGACTAAGTTTAGGAAAGAAGGTTTACCTATGTGGGCTAGAAAAAGCGTGAGGGACGATCGTGTTAGCATTGGGTGAAGGTTGTAGTAAGGGTTAGGTAGAGCGAGTGGATTAGACCGGTCAAGGTGTAATGCTGAATACGGGGATGTGTTTGTTTTTCTCTTGTCAGGGAGCTTGAAGAGAAAGGTCTGGTAAGATGTCGCAGGGCGGCGGCGCATCGAGTGGTCCCAAGAAGGGCCTGACGCGCGATGACCTCATTGCGGCTATTGACAGACATGAAAGAAATCCGAGCAATATCCCCAAGGTCGATACCTTCCATTTTTGTGGGGAGAGAGTCTCAGAATGGCAGGAGCGGGTGGAACAAGCTCTGGTCGGGCGGTCGGACGTTGTAAAGTTTAGAAGCATTCTTCAGTATATCCTCCACAACCACCACCAAAAAGTGAAGAAAGTTATAGACGCGGCCCAAGGTAGCTGGGAAAGATTCAAGGAGGGAATGCAGAGGAAGTACCGCCTGGGAGATGGACTGTTGACCACTTCGGACCTTGAGGCAATGAACAAAGAGGATTTTACGATGATAGGGGCCTTTGTTCAGGAATTTAAGAAGAGGGCGTGGAACATCCGTGGGATTTTAGAGCAGGCGCAGTGCGCCATTTTCTTGGGGCTACTCCCAGCGTCGGAGGGGGTAGCACCAAGCTCACTTAGGCCACCATTGATAGAGGGGTGGAAGTTGGATGTCTGGATCAAGTGGAGCAACGTCAGGAACGCCTGCAACAGCAGAAGAGAAAGGAAAGAGATGCGACCGCTTCTGGGACCCCCGGGGTTAAAAGGATTGTTAGAGACGTGTTGGCACAGCTGGGGTATGCGACAGAGCGGATGGTGCAAAGGAGGGTAGTGACAACTGTCCAGGTGAAAGGGAAGGAGCCAGTGGTGGAAGAGGTCGTTGATGAGGAGCTTTGGGAAGAGGAAGAGTCAGTACCACTGCACCTGACGAAGGCCCAGCGCAAACTGCGTAAGTTAGCGCAAGGTGGGCAGGGGTCAGGAAAGGGGTAAGCGCCTCAGGCTTTGGCGGCGGCTCCTCCAAGTGTGGCGGCGCCATCGTCAAGTGCGGGCCCCTCACAAGGAGGGGCACCCTCCTACGGACAGTGGCCCTGGCTGGTGATCAATGCAATCGTACCATGGGGTAGCCTGCCACTAGTAGCCGGACCGCAAACGAGTATGCCGCCACCCATCTACCCCGCAGCCCAGGCCCAGCCTGTGGCCTTGCCGCCGTCGCCCGCTCCCAGTTCACAGGGAAGCGTGGCTAGAGGTGGGAACCAGGGGTAGGGCAATCAAGGCAACGGAGGGAGGGGTGGAGGAAGGGGGCGAGGCAGGAATGGCGGCAGAAGAGGAAGGCAATGGAATGATAAAGGCCAGGGGTACCAAGGCCAAGGGAATCAAGGCCAGGGGTACCGAGGCCAGGGGTACCAAGACCAAGCGAATCAAGGCCAGGGGTACCAAGGCCAGGGGTATCAAGGCCAGGGGGATCAGGGAAGTCAGGGGTATGGAAAACCCCGTTTTGACTGGAGGACGGCCATATGCCAACATTGTGACCAACAAGGCCACACTATAAGGTTCTGTAATATAGGACGGGAAAACGAGAGGAGCGGGCTGATTTCCTCCACTATGGATGGGAACATTTACGATCAGTTTGGGGAGGCCATTGATAGAAGGCTTGGAGGAGTGAGGGCGGAAGCCCAACGCAGGGCGGCAGCTGGGCCGCCACCCCCTGCCATGTTCAGGCTATGGCAGGGGAAGGAAGGGCCGTCGGTGGGGATAGAGGAATTCATGTTATAGCACGAAAAGGAAGAACCACCGATTGGGGGTAGAGGAAGTGGGGAGCGATGAGGAAGCGACTCAAGGGCTACGAGGAGGAAGTAAGAGGGAAGAATCCATAATCATCGAGTCAGATGACGAGAATGAGGAAGAAAGGATGGAACCTCCGTCCGTCTTGTTGGGGAAAATGGAGGACCTGTTGGATAAGATGGGGAGGTACCAACAGAAGTTGGTGGGCCTCTGTGAGGAAGTGAGGAAATGGAAGTCTAGCATCCCCAAGGTGTTCCTCAACGACTCCGTTCCGGAATCAGCGCCTGGGCGACCCAGATTTAATGTGGTGGGGTCATGCCCACAATCGGGAATGATGGGGAGACCCTTCACTCCGCAGGCTCGGCTGGCGCAGGCAGCACGAACGAGAAGTCAAGCCAAAGCCAGCGCCAGCCAAGAACCTCCGAGGAGGGAGCAGGAGCCAGGAAAAAGAAAGGAGATGGCGGAAGTGGAGGATGACGATGATGAAGAGGAAGAAGACGAGAGGCTGCTCCGGGAAGAGGATCAGAAAGCGGAGCAGCGGGCAAGGAGGAAAGGAACTAGGGAGGAGGCCGAGCTGGTAATGGGTGACGGACCGCCCAAAAAGAAAAAGTACGCGGTTCGGTTGGAAGAGGGGTTTGATGTAGAGCGGGTGATTGACAGGCTGCTAGAAGGGCATAATGACCTCATGACCTTGAAGGATATCCTGGCGTCAGCCCCGCGGCTCCGCGATGAATTGAAAGACAGGTTACCACGACGCCTGGTGCCCAATGTCCATCTGGGCACGATCCTGCCCAAGGAGGCAGAGTGGGCAGAATCAGACACGAAGATGGATTGGAAGTGTGTGGCTTGCGTCACGGTGGATCTGGTGGTAAAGGGCTCCAAGTGTGCGGCAATGGTGGACACCGGGGCCGAAATAAACATCATTCGGGAGGCGAACGCAATCAAATTCGGGCAGGATATAGACCGCTCTGGCCGCGATATTCTGCATGAAGCCATCTCTAAGGCCGTGTTTTGCGGGACAGTCTCGAATGTGCTCATCGAGGTTGGAAAGGTGAAGGCCAAGGCATGCTTCTTCATAATGTCCGACGTGGATCATGGAATCCTCCTAGGGAGATCGTTCCTAAGTAGGACAGAGACCGTGATGTTCAACAAGCATGACGGGACTCTAATCCTTCTCCTATGTGACCCTGCCTGCGGGAATTATGAAATAATTACCTGCAGAAACACGGGGCCGAGAAGCATAAGGAACCGGCCCAATCCAGGATCGTTCACAATCGAAGAATCAGAAGGTGAATGCCGGAGGCTCCGGGCAGAGCCAGAAGCGGGAGAGAGGGGGGAGGCATTTTCCCTCAGCCTGTCAGTTATCGGGAAAGACATGGACTTGGTGGCCGCACATGAAATGGCAGACCCGGATGCTATCCAGGCCTTGAGGGAGCAAGTTTTGGAATGCCCCGATGCAAGAAGATTGGAGCCGGTATATCGCCTTCCGGGCGGCGGGAGGAGCCCCGCATCAGCGCTTGCGTAATCTGTGAGTCGGCTTTTTTTAGGGGGCGGATCAAGCAGGGTTCCCAAAGGCGGTACAAGACGGTTGACAAGAAGTGTCGCCCGGTTCCCGTCCTCGTTACAAAAGACGAGGAAGCATATTACAAGAGGGAACGAGGGTTGATACGGCAAATGAGGGAGAGTGCTCTAGCACGGCCGTGTCGTATGGGAACGAGGGGAAATTGATCATAGGAGAGCCCGACTTCCTGCTGCCTCAGGAGCGGACATTGATGGAGGAATTGTTGAAGAGGAGGCACCGCGCCTATGCGTTTAGTGACGAGGAGCGTGGCAGGTTGGATGTGGACAAGATACCTATGATCCGCACCACACGAGCCTTGGAACTTGAGAGGGGCGCAGTATCCAAATCCTGACGAGGAAACGAAGGTGGTGGATTACCTCGACGGCAAGATACGTACGCACGTCGCCGACTATTCGAATGGACCATATGCGTCCCCGTGGTTCTGCTTCATTAAGCCTAATGGGACACTGCGGTGGGTGCAGGATTTGCAGAGGCTGAATGCGGTGACCGTGCGGGATGCTGGAGGATTGCCCAATGCGGACACGTTGTCGGAATCCTCTGCTGGAAGGCCTATAATTTCGCTTATAGACCTTTACTCAGGATACGATCAGTTTCCAGTCTACCCGCCGGATAGGCCGGTGACGGCTATGCACACGCCGTGAGGATTAATCCACATGAACGTGGCCCCACAAGGGTGGACCAACGCGGTAGCAATGGTCCAACGAGCCATGATTCGAGTTATGCAGTCACTCAGCCCCCATATCACACAGCCATACATCGATGACTTGGCGGTGAAGGGGCCGGCAGTGAAGGAAAGCGACGAAGTCTCGCCAGGGGTGAGGCGCTTTGTCTGGAAGCATATCCAGGACCTCGAAAAAGTCCTGAGCCTGCTCGAGGAGCATAACCTTACGGCGAGCGGGGCCAAATCCAGACACTGCATGAGGGAAGCGACTATCTTGGGGTTCGTCTGCAGCGAAAAGGGCCGAAGGCCGGATGGGAAGAAGACGGACAAGATTATTGAGTGACCGGTTCCGTTCCACTCAATAACTGATGTCAGGAGCTTCCCTGGTACGTGTGGGTTTTGGAGGGTCTCCATCAAGAACTTTGCCGCTAAGACTGAGCACCTGAGGAAGTTAGTCTGTCAGGATCAGGAATGGGTTTGGGGTGAAGAACAAGAAGAGGTGGTGGCCAGAATGAAGGAGGAGTTTCGAGAAGGAGGTTTGCTGTTAGGAGCGCCAGATTATGATGCCATGAAGACACGACCCTTCATTGTCGAAACGGATCCGGGGCCAACTGCCTAAGGAGGAGTTCTAATCCAGGCAGACATGGAAGGAAAGGAAAGGCCCTTGCGATTTGAGAGTCGGACTCTCTGTACGACGGAGAGGAACTACTCTCAGTTCAAAAGGGAGACCCTTGCCATCCTCCATTGTCTGCGAATCTTCCGGAATTATATCTTCGGCAGAAGGTTTATTTTGAGAGTGGATCCGACCGCCCTGGCCTACTCTCTAAGGAATTACGTTCCATCGGATCCGACGGTTGCCAGATGGTTGGTGTACATCTGGATGTTCAATTTCGAATTGGAACGGATTCCTGGTAGTAAGAACCGGGCGGACGGGCTGAGTCGGATCAACTGAGATAAACAGGAAGGTGAGGCAGTGGAGAATACGCCCCCAGTTAATGGATTTCTGGACCAGGAAGAAGATGTCCGTCTTCATATCAACAAGTGGTTGCCACGAGTACCCAGCTGTGTAGGCTATCCTATCTGGCGAGCGCCGAATGGGTATAAAAGGAGGGCCGAGCTAGTCCTCAAACCCTTTGAAGAGGAGGATCCTTGGGGTGGTAAGGGTGTTCAGTGGATGATGGAGTTAGTGCTAGCCAGCTCGCATAGCCTGGTGGAGGACGTGAGGACGATTGAGGAAGGACCTGGACTAGTAGAACGGCATGAGAACTTGATGGGAGGAATGTATCTCCTCGTCAACACGTTATTGCAGGAAAGCCTCGACCAGTCAGGCTCGTTAAACCCGACAGGGAATGTGGACGAAGTGCCCGAGAGCCAGGACAACGAGTTCGAGGAGGGAGATGATTTATGGTTGGAAGACTCACCCTAGGAGGTGAGTAAACTGAGTATAGCATGGTAAGTTGTTTGATGGGTGATAAAGTCTGACGAAAAGGGCCACCTTTGTTTGGAATGTTTGAGAGAGTCGCAATGAGTGCAGGGCGAGAGATATCTCAGGATGGGTGGCTGCTGGCTCTGATCAAGTCAGGGGTCACGACCTGGTGGATCTAGCGGTGATTTTGTTTGTACGCGTGCGAAGGATGCCATGCCTATTGAGTGAGGGCTGGTAAATGCCTTCGGATCCCTGCGTATCGCGCAGTGGGTCAGTGATTTTGTTTTGCGACGCCCCCGTCTAACCACTGGTGCTAATTCTGAGACATACTGAAGAAAGGCCAAGCTAACGGAAAAGAAGTTAGTACCTCTAGGGCGTAACCCCATTGGATGGCTACTAGCCGGCGCAACCTGGCTGCGGGACCGCAGGGTAAGAGTTTAAGGGGGGTTGCCCGCCCAAGTGAAATCACTCCGCGGAATAGTGATGGTTGGGAATTTTGGGGGGGGATCCTGATTGAATGCTTATCAGGAGAAAACCTATCGTTGCGTAACCAACGAGGGTACTTCCGTTAAATAACAATGCAGTGGGCCGTAGTCCTGGTCCGATCAGCCAGGCTATGGTGGACCAAGATGGAGACCTAGCCTTTCTGTACTAGACTGCAGAAAGAGCTGAGCGGATCCTAAGTATACGTATATACTTATGGGTATTTGATTGCGAGAGATTTTTGAGAAGGAAGGCAAGAGTGCCTTCTAAGGTCTCGATTAAGGCCCGCGTCCCTAGTTTTTGCCAGGACTAGGGACACCTAACGAGAAGCCGAAGGTTGTCTAGGACCGGGGAGAGGACGATTGGGAAGGTCTTCGGAACTTATGATGTCAGCGTCCTAATTTTTGACGGTGAGAGGCCCGGGTTAGAAACCTAGCAGCATACAGTTGTGAAGGCATGGTTTGATGAAGGCCTCTCCCTGTGTTTGTCGGCTAATCGGATTGGCTCGTTTCTCGTCACCATTTGGGATGGGGATGAATTCATAGCTTTCTGATTTGGCGAAGCGACGGGGACGTCGCTTAATATGGTCCGGTAAGCTGTCGGCGCGAATACCCTTACAAGGGTATCCGCCCTGTATTATGCAAGTGGCAGAAAACGGTCTTGGTTTAAAGTTAAGTATACCGCGCTAGGCGCGGCTGTGACTGTGAATTACGTTGATTGGATGATTGACTAAAGTGAGGAGTGCGTGGACGCGCAGGTTTAAGAAGCAAGTGATTTTTTCTGTTGTTGATCATAAAGCCGACGCGGACATCGGTCGTCATTGGTCGTCTTATTAAGTGGTATTATTAATATTTATTTTTATTTGATTAAGCAGGAATTAGGGGATATGTTCTTTCGATGGATACGTTTGACCGAGTCGAGCTTGAGTGCGGAGAACGATCCCGGCGACGACATCGGTAACGACGGCTCGACTTCGTGCGGTGAGCGGGGTATCGTAGGAAAGCGCGCGGGGCAATTATGGCACGGTATAAGCAAGCCGGCGCAGGCACTAGGAGCCGCGCAGCCGGTTTGTTGGCCCAAAGCACCACGCCGCACTGCTTATATGGTATTCTGCGGAGCTTAGTCCCAGGCTTGGGCTTAGCCCTATTGGTTACGGTAGGGGACTGACACTACGAAGGTTCGGGGGTCGAGGCTGGCGAGCGTCGACGCAGCGGCAGCGAAGCATCAAGAGAGAAGCCGATGGGGTTGAGGGTCGTGGGGCTATCCCTCTTGGTTTTGCCATTGGCGGAGTCAGAGCGGCATTAGCGGTCCTTTTTTTTTCTTGGTTGCCATAGTCTGACGATTAAAAATTTCTAAATAAATTTTTATTTATTGTTGTATTATTATTTTGCCCCAATGTGCCTTCACTCGAACGCGACGATGGATTTGGAGGCAGTCGTGGAGGTCGAGGACTTTGAGCGGGCGTCCCCTTTGGTTGACCTCCGGATTTTGGTGTATTTGGGATGCTGGCGAGATTTCTCTATCCTGTTCACCATGGGATACATACCGAGGGAGTTGACGGGTATGAGAGCCAGTGGGTGATCAGGCGGAAGAAATCTGGGTGGCGCGGATCCGTTGCGGATGTACCGCTCACCAACCGTGATCTGCCGTGAGAAGTCGAGTGGGAGCATGCCCGTCGGGAGTTAGTAGGTAAGAACTGTGCCGTGGTATAACGCACCAAGGCACTATAGCATGGGGTATGCTGTATTCACAGGACTGCCTGAAGTGCAATTACAAACTGGTTTCGCGACTGCGCCAGAGCTACCTCTCTCTTTTTTGTATAACTTCGTTACCCCCTTTCCTGACCATGCCCGTTGCCTTGGGATGCGGTGCACGGGGTGTAACAGGTGCCCGAGAGCCTAGCTCGGTGGGGCACACCTATGAACTGTTGAAGCACAGGCCTGCGTTCTGGCTTACCCCGGGGCCATTTCGCAGGGCCGCAGGGTACCCTGGACGGCCTAGGGCCGTTCGAGCCTCAAGAGGTCGCGGGGCATTGCCCCGGTGAGTCCTTCGGGGCATCCGTCAAAACCGATAGTATAAACTGACGGGGGTCCGACAGCCGCCTGTTGTAACGTTTGCTGTTGGACCGCGCAGTCGAAAGACGGGCCGGGGCGATACCGTGGCGTTCTGCACAGGGTCGGAGCGAGGAGGCTGAGGCAGCGAGTGGCAGCCTAGCGGGCGCTGAAGTGAAACAGGGGAGCGGACGGGCATACTGGGTGGCGCCAGACGGTCGGAGCCAAGGAGCGAGCCGAGCAGCACTAAGGAGCGGCACGGATGAACCTGGCCGGGGGTCCCGCCAGGTGCGTTCGGAGCCAGGAGGGTGGTGGCCAGAGAGCGACTGTGAACAACGGGTATCGGCGCAGTGAGACAACGGGCGCTGGCGCAGAAGAGAGG